CAACTATAATGTTCCACATTGGCAAAAATGAATCTGGAAATGTTGAACCAATGTAATAAATACGCAACTGTTAGTTACTGACGTCAACATGTCCTCCTAGACTATGATAATTATAGACGAAATATTTGATAGGTTTTTATTCCATCGATAAAGCAGCGTTATCATTGAGAATGTTAAACCCCAATTAAACTTAAAGAAAAAAAAGAAAAGTAATTAAAAACAAATTAATATGTTTTATCGGATCATTATTTTCGACACATAGAGCCACAACATCGTCATCAACATTATCATCAACATTAGTCCAATGACAGTGTGTAGTCGTAGAGTTTTCGCGCTGCTGAATACCTGACCAACGCCCTTCATATATGTCACAACGTATCTAGTGATATATATATGAAGGGCGATATATATATATTCATGATTAGCGTGTCTTTGGAAAAGTAGACCTGACGGACACCATTCTTTTCCAGATCAAACCGTAGCCGATGTCCTGCAACTTGAAGTCTTGCGTTTGTTACATATATGAAGGGCGATATATATATATTCCTGACTAGCGTGTCTTTGGAAAAGTAGACCTGACGGACACCATTCTTTTCCAGATCAAACCGTAGCCTATGTCCTGCAACTTGAAGGCTTGCGTTTGTTACATATATGAAGGGCGATATATATATATTCTTGACTAGCGTGTCTTGGGAAAAGTAGACCTGACGGACACCATTCTTTTCCAGATCAAACTGTAGCCTATGTCCTGCAACTTGAAGGCTTGTGTTTGTTACATATATATGATATATATATATATATATATATATATATATATATATATATATATATATATATATATTCATGACTAGCGTGTCTTGGGAAAAGTAGACCTGACGGACACCATTCCTTCCAGATCAAAGCATAGCCTATATCCTGCAACTTGAAGGCTTGCGTTTGTTACATATATGAAATATATATATATATATATATATATATATATATATATATATATATATATATATATATTCATGACTAGCGTATTTTGGGAAAAGTAGAACTGACGGACACCATTCCTTTCCAGATAAAAAACGTAGCCTATCTCCTGCAACTTGAAGGCATGCGTTTGTCACCGATAGGTGGCTGATTATTCTGTTGGCAGAACCATCCGTAGCGGCCTTTCATTTCAGTTTCGAAAGACCTATCGGCAACATCGCCTTTGATATACTGCTCGTTGTTTAGTCTTATAGATATATTTATCCTGCAGCCCGTTGAAGTTAGCTGTAGTTACTTTCTCTGGGCTGTCTGATTGGAGAGAACCATATATCTACTGCACACGTTGTACACTGATAGTCTATAAACATATAACCATATCCATCCTTAAATACCATGTAAATTAGCATTTTTTGAAATTTTATTGATAACACCTACCGTTGTCAATTTTACTTGCAAATTTCAAATTACCAGATTAACAATTAACATCAGATTTAAAATCAGCAATACTGCTAAGTTCGAGTACTGATGCTAGAGGTTTTTGATAGAATATTTCCGACTCAGTGTTTAATTCCACCAGTTCAGACCTTTACAGCTAGGATACGCCATTCTACTTACGCGAGGCTGAATTATCGTAATTTCCTATGTATCCCAATGTAAGAAAAATTTACACTCAGATACATTTATTTCCAGGAACATTTACTTTATGGAAACAGATCCAACCTTGATGTTTCGATTAACACTACAGTCTTACTCTAGTCAAGTCAAGGGCTGATCTACATCTATCCGCCTTATACACATAATGTTTGCTTCCTACCACCTCGTCATTCACTGATTAATTCATACCACACATCTCATCATTAATAACCAGTAACCTTTTACACTGACTGGTGCTTGAGCTTTACATTAGGTGAAATTTCCTATATAAAATGACTAGATGTAATTTCTCTGAAAATTGCAGTTCAAGCAATGTAATATCGGTAGCTTTTATAAAGTTTTCTTCCAATAAGTGACGATGCATCAACATTTTTTGTTGTGTGGATACACTTTAAATAATTGATAGATCGCTGCCTTTTGCATTTCACACTATTATAAATTAATAATTAGTGCTGATGATGGCAGTAACGACTGATAAACAGATTCGACGATGAGCCTTGCTAGTATCGAGAAATCTGTACGCTCATGTAAATGAGGTGGTGTTTTATATAAGCAGGTATCTATATGGAAAAGTGTGTCATGCATTAGTGCTGTTTAAGTCGGAGTAGATAGAAACGAGGACGTAAGATATAAACATTTTGACTAATAAAACATTCGCATATGTCAATCGGAGGCGCGGTGAAACAATGGACGGCAGCTCGGATTGAGAAATCGGAGAGCCGAGTTCGAATTCCAGTCAAATCCATTACATTCACTTACGTGCTAACACCCTTGGGAAAGGCATGAATCCTCCTTTCTTCTCCCAGCGTTTTGGATAAATAGTAGGACATACCGGGTTCTGTTGCCTTGGATAGCAAATGGTCTACCACAGAAAGAAATGGTAAACTACTGTGGGAAGAAATCTACCTCGTTATGTATCGAAAGATACATGATCGCCTAAGCGTGTATCACTCATCCCACATAACTGACTGATAAGTCAATCAGACAGTACGTAGCTAGACACAATTACCAGTTGATTTTCTCTTTGAACCATTCAGCGCATAATGTTTGATCCTACAAATGTTCTGATGAGGTTTTCTCTTTGGTACTTAGACTTCATGAATTTAAGTGATATACGCTGGAATTTTGAACCGAACCCTTTATTTAATCCACTGTGGTAGAGTGTTCTAGTTCTACGTGCCATGCTTTTTTTTTGTGGACACATGGCGCACTATATATAAGCGTTGGTTGAGGTAATCCAGTGACTTGACCCAAAGATTTGTGAGTTCAATGCCTGGCTACAGCAGAGGTGAACAAAAACTGGGAAAATTTAGTTACTAAAGGAATTAAATGAAACAGAGATATCCCGAAAACGCATGAGACGTGCAATTAAAACAATCTAACACCGTAGACTAAATAAATGGTTCTGCTCCAAATTACAACGTATATATATATATATATATATATATATATATATATATATATATATATATATATATAACTAATTTCAGAAATATAGACAGTTTGATTTTGACATCAATTCGTAGTTTGCTTTTCGGGCTTTTTTTCTCTTGCTGGCAACCATAATTCTCTCTTCATACAATTGAGAGTTATTCCTTTCTTCACACTTTCCCTTACTACCTGGTCTAAATGGTCCTTTTTGTATTCCTTCTGTACCAGTCAACAACAGAGTGCTCACATATTCAGTCCATGATATTCTCAGCAGCCTCCTGTGGAACTACATTTCCCTTCAAGTATCTTCTTCATCAATGAAAGACTGTTCAACACTTGCCGCCTTATTAGAGGAATGATATTACATAACAGTTCATTGAATTTGATTTTTTTTTCTTTTGCAGTTCTTAATAATTTTTTCTTTGTGTTATATCTCCTAAACATTGCTCTGTTATCTGTTGACTCAATATCGTTTGCCTTAAATATAATCTGTTAGTATCACATTTTTCAAGCCCTCCTCCTTCATTATATACCCTAGAAATTTCAACTCTCTCTTCTTCATGTTAAATATAAGAGTCTAAATCTTAGACGTTAATCACATGTTCAATCCATGGTATCCTTCTGTAGACACACACTTCTGTTGCTACATGTCTGATCTCAGGGGAAATTGTTCAGTATTCATTGCCGTATAGAAGGACTTCATTAAATAGCAGTTCATTGAATTTCATGATGTTTTCTAATGTGTTAATATACTTTCGCAGTTGTAATTGTATATTGTGTATAAATTGCCCAAACTTCATGTTGCGGGATCCAAATATTTAGACATGCATTAGTTTAAGTGCAAATGAGAAAAGGAAATTAAATGTGTTTTAAAAAGTAGATTGTTTCGTAATTCTTTAAAAGTGTTAATTGAAATAGGTGGTCATGCATTTTTAGGTTTCAATTGATTTAGTAAGAATTCGTAGAAAAATGTGGGATTCTACCAGGTTTTTGTTTGTTTTGTTAAAGTATTCTCAGTAGTTATTAGTATAACACTGGTTTAATCGGACCGGCATTATTTGACTTTAAAACTACTATTCAAATACAGTGTAACCCGGATATAAGAGATTTGTCGGGACCGGAGAAGAGGTCTCTTATATCAGGGTTTCTCTTATATCCGGGTTTGGTCTATATGTATACATTAACACAGGCTCTAATTTGGGACCAGAGAAAATCTCTCTTATATCCGGGTTTCTCTTATATCCGGGTTACACTGTACATGAAATGAGTAACCGACAGAATAAATATAAATAAGTTTTTAAAGTAAAAAAATTACTGATCTGTTGAAACAAGATGATGTTTTGTTTATTTTTAATGGCGAAAATGTTGAACTTTGTTAATTTATGGTCTCGTGATTTTTTTTTTTTTAATTTATATTTTCATCTTTGCTCTGAGAGAAAAATCATTTACATTCCGCCAGCAGGCATTGCGTGGACGAGTATGAATGCCATTGCTATAGGTCCGGGTCTAGGTCGAATGCTGGACAGCATAAAAAAAAAAAAAAAAAAAAAAAAAACTCATGTAATAAAACAAAAATCATTCTGTGTTTCATTACAAGTTTTGAGTTTGTCGTTATTTTTTAGGATATTTTTTGTATATATTCTTTAAATTTTTTTCCCCTTACATAACCTTTTGGAAAAAAAAATAGTGTTGTGGTTAACGTTATTTCGATATTTTATTCTTGTTATAGATTTTGTTGCGATTATCGCTGTCCTGTTTGTTTATATTTATTTGTTGTTATTTCTGTTTTCTTTTGAGGTGATTGATTGCCACTTTGGCGCCAATTCCAGTCGGATAATCAAGAAGTAGCGCTAGGCGATGGCAGTCGTTTGGTGCCGGGGAGAGCCCTGTGAATGACTGACATGCAACGCCGACATCAGCACTTGTTGCCTAGCAACAAGCTACGAAGTGGCCGGGCGAAATGAATTCATAAAGACAAAGATGGATAGAGGTGGCAAGTAGAAAGATAGATAGAGATACTGAGAGAAAGGTAGGAAAAGATAAAGATATGTATAGATGGAAAGGAAGAGAAAGGGAGAGATTAATTGATCTTGACAGGTGTCACAAAATTTAGACAGCAATAAGCTGAAAAAAAAGACGAAAGAAAGCTAAAGAAAGAGAAACAGCCATATTTCTTTCACAGAGATAGAGATAAAAACGAATTAAGGAAAAGGGAGTCTGTTGGAAGGGTAAAATAAGTGAAAGAAAAACAAGGAATTACAATGTTGGTCAATAAGTCCGAAGCCTGACACAATTTCCAGCGAACAATGTGATTAATTGATAACTGTTGTGTTAAGTGCCTTGACAAGGAAACAGAAAATGCTAACAAATATATGATGTATAAAATATTATTCATGATTAGGCTAAAGGGTTACTGATTCTCTAATCAAGAAATACATACTTTTACTTAATACACACACACATACACACGCATACATACATACATACATAAACACACATATATATATATATATATATATATATATATATATATATATATATATATATATATATATATATATATATATTCGGTATTTCATATTATAACTGGTGTTTGGAGGCTAGGTGCAAATGTTAGTTTCATATAAATCGAAACGTAAAAAGGAGAATAACCATCTCTGACTAGTTCACTACATGGTTTTAGTTCTAGTAGTCACGACAATGACACTTGAGGTGAGCGAGTGTCGTGGAAAGTTTATTTCAGGGGCGGCAAATCTAGTTTGTATAGAGATTGACCTATTGTGTAAATTCTGTTCATATTGTTCGTGAGTTTTACATATGATGGGTGAATCTGGAGCGGTTTTCACACCGCATGTTATTATCATCGTAGAATAGATAGCACACCATACACACACACACAAACACACGCACGCACACACACACACATATATATATATATATATATATATTTGTGTGAGTGTGTGTGTATTCTGATTGATAAATTCTTAAGGTCAATGAAAATAATGAAACATATACACTTTACGTTGTTAGACACAACCACTTATTTGGCTTGAACTTCAAGAAAATGAAGATAAGAAAAGGAAAAATAAATTTAATATGGTAAATTAGAATATTGGGAAAATAGGCTAACAACACAAGATACGCAGATGACACAATTCTGATAGCAGACACGGAAATGAAATTACAAAATCTCCTACAGAAAATAACGACGGAGATCGAGGAGAAGGGACTATGCATAAACTACAAAAAGACAGAATGCATAGTCGTCAGTAAAAGGATGAGCCCGAAATGCGATCTGACGGTCGGGAACATTAGAAGCAAACAGACAAGAAAGTTTAAATACCTGGGAAGCGTCTTGACAGAGGACGGTAAGTGCGACACTGAGATCCGTAGGTGTATTGGTATGGCCAAGGATACATTCCTAAAGATGGACAGAGTAGTGCAAAACAGGAGGATATCTTTTGCAACAAAGAGAAGAATACTGAACTGTTACTTGACATCTGTCCTTCTTTACGGCAGCAAATATTGCACGATTTCCACAAAGATAAAATAGAAAGACGAGGTTCTACAGAAGGATGCTAAGGATATCATGGACCGAGCGTGTGAGTAACTAGGAGATCTTAGAGAGTTTGCAAGCCAGGAGTCGGCTTATACTTAATCTCAGGAAGAAGAAGCTGTGAAGTTTCTGGGGCACATAATGAGGAAAGAGGGCCTGGAGAATCTGATACTCACGAGTCGAATAGAGAGAAAGAGAGACAAGGGAAAACAACGCGTGACATACCTGGTGGGCTTAAGGAAGTGAGTGACAGAACGTGATCTAGCGGAGATAATAGAGTGAAGGAACTTGTTGAATGCTGCAAGGGATAGAGGGAGGTGGAGAGCCATGATCGTCTACGTCTTGAAAAGACATGGCACATAAAATGAAAGACTAGTTGGTCAAACGTTTAAAACTATACAAAAATGAAATCCTAAACATGAGTATGAAATGTCCAAGAAGACTTTACAACAGTGAGTTACACGGTCCTCATTGTAAACAGCCCCCCCCTTAATTAGCTTTGGCGTGGTCGATATGAACGTTTTCTGAAGGCAAGCTAGAATGTTATTCGAAGATGGCCTCGCAAAGATCACGCACTGTTTGAAATTGACGTTCATTTCTATAGAGTTTCCCTTGTTATCCAACAACAAATATTTTCAATGCCGTTTCGGCCGGGCGAGCACAATGGACCGTCCAAAAGAATCACGTTATTCGCCATGCAAAAGTCCTTTGTCCCTCGAGAATTATGGATTGCAGCGTCGTTCTACTGAAAAATCCAGTCATTTCAACATAAGCGAGGGACCTCAGTCAATAAGATGTTCTCTCCAACATGCCAAATGTAACCACCCGTGGATTGACGCCACTGTATAACCTGAAGCTTTATTGTTCCTTGGAAGGAGACAGCACACCAGATTTTGATGGAACCTCCTCCACTGCTTCCTGTAGAAAATGTCTCTGGTGGAATATCCTTGTCGTGTCAGTAACGTTGAAAGCCATCTGGACCATCTAGGTAAAATTTTTTCTCATCAGAGAACAAAACATTCTTCCACTTTTAATGTCCCATTTTTGACCCTTCTCAATAAAAGTTAATCGAGCTATTTGCGGTGTGTAAGGGGGCGTGACTTTTCCAGTTATTAAAGCTTTTCATTCTTATTGTTCTTGAGATGTATTCTCATTCTAAAAAGCCATAATCTGGTTCGACGATTGGTGTCTTGCTGGCCAAAACGTCGCATCTTTCTGCTCAACGCGGACGAAATTTTCTTTGGGCGTTCATTTGAAATTCTCTTTCCGAATCCCTTAGAGTTTATTAAGAAATTTGCATCAGCAGGTTTACTGCATTTAATCGTACCAGCAATGACACATTGAGAGAAACTTTGCATTTGCAATTCGACAATTCTCCCACGTTCAAACTCTGTCATCTTTTCAGCTTTTGCCATGTTTTTACCTAACGTAACACTGGTGATACCAGTAGGAGATGTCGCTTGTGATAATTCTTGAACACAAATAACTAAATTTCGATACGTGTTCACCAATTAAATCTCCGTTTAATTATGGCCTTAAACATTTGTCCAGCTAGTATTTAGCCTAATTTCTCAGTATTCAAATTTTCCATATTAAAATTAAAACGTTTTTAATTTTTCTCTTTCTTCTCTTATTTTAATTTACGGAAAAATTTGATTTTTAAAAAACTTCATTAGCCTTAATAATACACATCAGTATATATCGTAATGGTTTACAGCTCCGAACGAGCTGGTTTCGAACTCCAGTAGGATTATATCCACCTTGGTTGAAATATCTTTATGAAAGGTCTCAATCAATTTTTCCCTTCTCCGCTATGGGGAAAAAATGTGAGCCTGTGCACTTCTGTCCTGTTTAGCAAATGAATTAGAACAACAAATTTGAATTCAAAATAGATTACGATAGAAACGTTTACTCCATCTGGTATAAAATACCTTCTTTTATTATTGGAATCAAAATAGCAAATCATAGCGTGTTTAGAGATGTGCGGCGAGTGGACCTGTATTTCTCAGTGCAGTCAAGAGTACTTGAGTGAAAGATATGAACAAACACAAATACACTCATACTTGTGTGTGCGTTTATATATATATATGAGAATTTATTTACGTTAGGAATTTGATTAATATTTTAGCTCAAAGTAAATTTTGTTTTTGTGAAGTGGAATCATTTTTTTTATTGATAATCCGTGAAACTTGCCTAAGGAAATATATTATCCAAATTGCCTCTCATATATCCCATTCTATCAAATTTTCCTTCAAATTTTGGACAGTTTTTACACAATTTATATCCAGGAGAGAAAAAACTGGTATGAACTCAAGAAAAATTGAATAAAGTTTCTCACTAACCTGCCATCTATCTATCTATCTATCTATCTATCTATCTATCTATCTATCCATCTATCTATCTCTCTCTCTCTCTCTCTCTCTCTCTATATATATATATATATATATATATATATATATATATATGTATGAAGAAATATAGTCTTAAGATGTGCTATATTTATGGGATAAATTACTCAATATCGGATATAGAGCGTGTGTAAATATAAAAGTTGTTATGGAACCTTACCCATAATGAACTATTCCATACGTAATAATTACTGCGCCTCAAGAGGAAGCAGGGAATTCAGAGTTCAGTTTGAAGTCTGGAGTGAAGTCAGTCAGAGCGAGCGAGTCAGTCAGTCGAGTCAGAGGCAGTCCGAAACAGAGTCGCGTTCAGACAATTACTACTAAACCTGATTGTTCGTACTAACACTTTCTACTTCTCTGTATATATTCCTGTCTGTAATATATCTGTGTTATTCCATATCCTCCTTTGAGTTCTTCTTTATTGGTTCTACCTTCGACTATCACCGTAGTACAAGGAACCGGACCATAACAAAAGTGAACATAGAAGTCAAAACATACAGGCGAGGATTGCATCTAGCATGAAACAGACTGTCGCCTCTAAGTATATATATATATATATATATATATATATATATATATATATATATATATATATATATATGTGTGTATATATATATATATATATATATATATATATATATATTAAAAAAATGCTTAGTGTCAGGGATAGATGTATTTAAATATGAAAATATGACATTGCGGTCAACAACGAACGGCATCTATTGCATATACAATCATAGCCGGAAGTCTGTGTTAAAACAGTCTTTCAACACTCACTCCCTATATATATATATATATATATATATATATATATATATATATAGAGAGAGAGAGAGAGAGAGAGAGTGAAGTGAGAAAGAAAGGAAAGGATTCACGCTCTGTGCGCATGTGGATGAGTGTCTGTGACAGAGATAGAAAGAGATACAGAAAGAGATAGATAGATAGATAAGATAGATAGATAGATAGATAGATCTACACATATATGACGCCATTGTTAGACTCATTTGTGCCTTTAAAAGATATAACTCTTTAAACCAGTCATTGTAAACCTCTGAAACGACGATGGTAGACATCAGACGCAGACATATTTTATAAAGTTTACATGTCTTTTCGTCCCCTCAGGTGACAAACACGCGTTTCCATGAATATGTCATTAAGTGTAAGAATTAATATCATTTAAATATTGATCACTTGGTTAGATTCGATAAAAGTAGTTTGATTTTGAGCAGATGTAAATTAACAACAACCCTTTGAAAAAAAAAATGACCAGAAATGACTACGCTCGGAAAATCACTATATGATATAATATTTATGTATGTATAAATCTGCGTGTGTTCAAATATTCGTTATGTAAACTAAACATATTTTCTTCAATACGCAACTGACTTTCAAATGCAGACTCACATCTAGAGAGAAGGAAAAAGAGAAGTGAAGCAACATGTTGAAACATGTAGTGACCGTGCAGGCAGTTTAATTAGGAAATCGAAAATAATTGGGAAGTGATGACCTAGAAAGTAAAAGAACGAGTGATAAAGGACCAGTATAGAAGGGAAACTGTTGTAACCTAGAAAAGGTTACTGAATGAGGAATAACCAAAACGGAGATTGGAAATGGAATGGTAATCTTTATAACATCAACAAAATACAATACTCGCGTGAAGTAGGTAAACCACTGCTAGTGATGGATTACATAGCATATATATATATATATATATATATATATATATATATATATATATATATATATATATATATATATGGATAGATAGAAATAGATAAATATTATGAGACACCGTTCACCGGACTGAACGCATCACAATTTTTTTTTACAATTTGTACTACTATTTTCTAAATACTGTTTGTTGATATATACAATAATATATCGTTATATATATATATATATATATATATATATATATATAGAGAGAGAGAGAGAGAGAGAGAGAGAGAGAGAAAATATATGGTTTATAGATCCGACAGTATGAAGAAAAATATAAGGAATAAACAAACAAAAATCCTAATATGCAATTATACTGTTTTAATGTTAATATAATGTCAACGGCGGACGTTTCGGTCTAGTAGACCATCTTCAGGGCACATTCATAAAACATAATTAACATTAGACTATATTTAATTCAACATGAAAAGACGATGGACATAAGAGTAAGTCTTTTCATGTTGAATTAAATATAGTCTAATGTTAATTACATATTTTTCTTCATATATATATATATATATATATGGATAGATAGATAGATAGTATTAACATCGTTTGACTTTTTTTCTTTGGTTTGGTTAAAGGAGCAAGTCTACTATATCAAGCCAAAACTTTGGGACAACTTGAAGGGCGAATACCATTATTATTTCTTTCATACCACAAGTCTTAGCGGTGAAATCAGTTGACGCTATTATTGGGCGGCTTGGATGGTAGCAAAATCTGATGCCGATTTGGAATTTGAAATAAAACCTCACGCTAAACGCTTTCCTATCATATTCGCTTCTTTTATAAATTTTAGTCAATAAATAAATTTACTTTTCAATCACTCTGTATATGTATGTAAGGTGTATTTCTGTAGCAATAATGCTATTAAACATGTCTGGTTAAACAACGTTGGAATGTTCTCTCTATCAACATTATTATAAAACTTTTAATATATCCGAATTAGTTGTTTCATGTTATCGGTAAATTTGCCAAAGTTCATATTTATTTTTATTTTATACTGTGGAATCGTGCATGGATTCCACCTATTTTTGCGCACGCGCGCGTATTGCACCCCTTCCTTTCACTTTCGGCTAGACATAACAGTAAACCAGCCTGTTTGTTGCCGACAAGGTTGCTGGCTGCTCCTGATACCGTCTAGAACGGAATTTGAAGTTTTCCCGCGCATTTCTCTGACGTCACTGACAAACTATGTTTTCAAGTCAGTCGCGGCCTGTTTCCAGAAGAAGAAGGTTGGCTCATTTATTTCGTGTCCCTTATCCATACACGGGCCGGAATATCTTAACTGACCAAAATTTCCTACTGACTCGGTTCATTATGCCGAATATTTTTCCTGTGATTGTAACTTGTTTCGAACAACATGTTTGAACCTTCCTCCGTTTTCTACAAGAGAACGTAGAGTCTACGATACCGTCGGCATCACGCTTTTAAGACTAATTCCTTGTCCCTCAGCGAACAACTTGTTCGAACTTTCCTCTGTTCACTACGAGAGCTTACGACACTGTGGTCATCACACTTTTGCAAGAACTAATTCCTCGTCTTGATGCGAACAACTTGTTCGCACTGTCCTCCGTTTTCTACTAGAGAACGTAGAGTCTACGACACTGTCGGCATTTAGATAAAACACTCTCTATATTACTTTTCTTCGAACGTTAAAAGCCACTGTGTTTTTTATCTATCACAAATGTATTCCGATTAAAAATAATTCGCATATATATCAGACACAGATATCTTCTTATTTACGTCATACAGTCTAACCCGGATATAAGGGAGTTGTCGGGACCGGAGAAGAAGTATCTTATATCCGGGTTTCTCTTATATCCGGGTTTGGTCTATTTTATATACATTGACACGGGCTCTAATTTGGGACCAGAGAAAATCTATCTTATATCCGGGTTTCTCTTATATCCGGGTCTCTTATATCCGGGTTACAGTGTATATGGTAGAGAGCTTAATTGTCCTTTTGATTCCAAGAGCGAAGCCGTCTGGAGTTCCAAATGCTGTATGGCAAAGTCGAAGAGGAAGGACTAAACTGAACGCTACCTACCACGAAAGACTCCAAGGTTGAAATAGGCAAAGATCTACAAGATGTCATCGTCCAAACTGATTCGGACCTTGCATTCAAGCATCCGGCAGCCCGAAGCAACTAGGTTTGCCATATCTCACCAGTTTCAATAACCTTTCAAATTCACGTGAATGGCCACGTCAGTCATAGACATCTCCGACTCCCCCCATCAGGTGAGAGAAAGGGAAGATAGATAGATAGATAGATAGATAGATAGATAGATAGATAGGATGACGATATTCATGCTCGGATGCAATCGTGTACCTACAAATATATCATACAAACTTCGTTATTTAAAAGATTACCTTTGAATCACTCTATGGTCAATGAAGAAATTCAGCCACCTCCACTACTAACAATTACAGGAATTTCGTTTTTGATTGTGAATTTAAGTCTGATTCATTTGTTATTATTATTGAGGTGATTTTCTTAAAGTAATGTTTATCTATATCACCAGTTTCCTGTCTTGTCTTCCAGAATATTATACAGAATTCTGTGTAAGAAGATGAATTATTCTTGGTAATTGGATATGATTAACTTTTGTCGGTGTTTTTTTATTTAGTAATCCTGGCGAAATCAACCATTATATATTAAAAGGGAGGAAAGTTAAAATCCTTTTAACTATAACTAACAAAGGCTACATCTCAGTTTATATGAATGAATTAAGTACAAAATTTATTGTCACCAACGATATGAATATCAAAACTTCAACAGAACAATATTATTGTAAGCATTCCCCTTCCTGTTTTGAGAATGATTCTCGAATACTAATAATTCAAACGCATAAGTTGGTTTTACAACCACTATATTATCGCGCTGTTGAACATGATATTTTTCTGAAAATCCTTCATTTAAAATGTTTGAGAAACCAAGTCAACAGTAAAACGCATCTCAGACTAATCCTTATCAATCACAGAAAAGTGCTATATGACATAATATGTAAACATTCTACAAATATTAGAAGCGTTAAGCATAAAAATCAACACTAGTAAAAAAAATATAAAATTTGGGCGCAAACATCCCAAACTATTTGGGGGGGGGGCATGTAAAATAACTTAAATTTCATAGAATTTCTTTTCACTGATTAGCGTTTACATTCGGCCAACCATATAAAGTGAATTAAACTATTCATAATTTATTGAATATATATATATATATATATATATATATATATATATATATATATGTGTGTGTGTGTGTGTGTGTGTGTGATTAATGAGCATAAAATGTGTCACTTAGCTGATTGATATTAACTTCAGCATTCCGAATCTAGAGTTTCGTAGACTGACCTGTTGGTCCAGTCCTCAGCGATTATCAGCAATTTACTGTTTATATTTGTTACTTTTATGCACATTTAGCACTGATGTAGATTTTATTCTGCATTCTCTGTGTTTGTGAGTGCGCTTGACTGTACGCCCCACTACACGGATGTGTGTCATGATAATTTGCCCTTTTTCATATATATATATATATATATATATATATATATATATATATATATATATTATGGGAAATATATATATATATATATATATATATATATATATATATATATATATATATATATATATATACAGAAATTCGATGCCACAGACCATATACATAGATTTAAAATCGCAGGAAAGCATTCTTCTTAAAGGATCATTTTCAACCAAAACTTCGTCAGAAGAATACGTTGGTACTTTGGTAAATGTTAATTGGCAAAGGAATCACAACAATTCACACTGAGCGAAATTATAAGAATGAGAAAAAAGGAACTATGACTAAAGTATAAATTTATTAATAAAACTTATTAATAAAAACGATGGGAAATAGGAAAATATACGAGCAAGAAAGCAAATGTAGATGGTTCCAAGTGGGTATAAAAAGGAAACATTAATTCACATACCTTCTAAAAGACAGAGAAAGCGAACAAGATGCTTTTTTTCTGTCTGCCCAGAGCCGGCTGGTGTAATTTAATTAAAGAAAAAAAAAAACACTTCCAATATATGTAATTGCTGAGCGGACCAGACTCTAATCAGGACAGTGAAAGAATCGTCACTATATCCTGCCGTCAACAGCGGATTGTCTAGTAAATGCTGACCAATCGCTGCGTCGTGAACAGAGTGGGTACAACGCATGCTGCAATTGAAAATATCTAGTCTTATATTCACAGGAACATGTCCGATGATAATTCTGAATCACGAATTGATTCATTCTAAATAGGCATCCTCACAGTGACATCTGAATTTATTAGAAAAAAACCCCCCAAAAAACAAACTACTTTGAAGATAGGATCCATCTTTTACAAACGAAGGAAAACCGGATTAGTCCCTACAACAATACGTAAGACAATGGTCGAAAGACCCAATATAAAAACAGGCCGACACTCTGTTGGATAGTGTTTGAATTTTCTTCTCTAGCAAAAATAATTTCAAATATACGTTACACAGGGTAGGATCAAAAACTTACCGGGACGATGAAGCATTAAATTTTGCGTTAAACTTTATGACATTATCAGGATAGCCATTGTCACTGAAAATGCTATAAATATTCTCTATATATTTGTTAAATCTGCAAGAACATATTAATGCGCTATAGGCTACGGTAGAAATCAGATTTAACTTACGGGACTTGGGGATGAAAAAATGTGTCTGTGTAGAAATGTAAGATAGAGTACATCTGTAAATACAATTTCAAGCCAAAGTACATGACAACAAATATGCTAAAAAATGAAAGCGGATGTTTAAATCCATTGATCATTAACTAAAATAATTTAAATGCTAAATTGAAAACACATATATATATATATATATATATATATATATATATATATATATATATATATATATATATATATACCTAATCATAAGACCTGGTACGAATCTCACCATGTTCGATTTGTCAGGAAAGAGGCTTCCAAAATAGGCCTGAAGGGGGCCGATCCCATCTTGCGGCACCTTTTGAAAGTGCGTGGAAACCATGCCACACGTTGACCTAACTCTTGTGAGTGAAATTGGGTAGACGGGGCCGACAATACCAGTGCTAGCAGTAAGTCCCAAGTCATCGTGACCGACGGATTGAGTGTGCCGGTGTTGTTCAAATTGTTTATCATTCTAGGTAACACGTTATCCCCCAGAATGTGTAACTAAGGTCTGCTCAGCCAAAAAGCAGTATAAACCACAGGTTGGCTCTGTGGGTGTTGAACACACACAAATGTGACTGAGCGACACTCTGAAATGGGGATTTGATAACCGCGCTAGTAGACGGGTGTCCTCGAATACGTGTGACCATCTATTATATATAAATATATATATATATATATATATCACCACTTACCTAACTTTCGTGTATTGGACATGAAATTATATCACTGCATATCCAACATAATGTAGCTAATTTTTCAGTTAACTTGATGAATCTTTATGAGCGTTCCTATATCTAAACATTTTGAAAAGCCAATCAGTTTTGGTCTTGTATATAAATACATTACAAAATCCTTGCATTTTCAATGATAATATCCTTCATAGGACGAAACGAGTCGGCTAAGATAGCTTTTCCCTATGTCTTTATTCACACACAGGCGCGCACACACACACACACACACACACACACACACACACACACACACACACACATATATATATATATATATATATATATATATATATATATATATATATATATATCAAGGTAAGAATACAATAAACCTATCCATAATGCACGCCTGGCCAACATATATAAATATATACATGAGTATATATATATATATATATATATATATATATATATATATATATATATATATATATATATATATGTATGTATGTATGTGTGTGTGTGTGTGTGTGTGTGAATATATATAGTGTATATATGTCTGTCTGCATTTGTTTGAGACATGTTATGTTCGTTAATATACATATAAATAGAAAGATCTATATTCCTAACTCCACCATACTCGGCAACGTGTTATCTCTCAAATTGTGCCAACATATGCATAATCCATTTCCCTGCAATAAGGAAAGTTTTTGAGTCCACGTTTTTGATCTACACACTCATAGAGCAATCCCATCCAAACCAAAACACATTTTATGATAAAATGATTCGCTTGGGTTTTCTAATATGATGGATTTTTTTCTGCGGGCAAGGAAAAATTGTATTTTAGTTGTTGGTATTTTTTTTCTCATTTTCCGCTTACCTCAATCGCGGAAATATTAAATTTGAAAATCCAAGTTTATTCGAAATTGCTTTCTTGACAACCTATATTATATTAAAATCATTTCCCTGTTTGGCTGTTCGCTGCAAAGACGCATCTGATTGAAGCGTCCTCTGTTGGTTTTTCCTTAATTAAGTTGGTTGGTTTGGATGGGGCTGTAAATTTCTGTGCTTGTTCAGGGCAAATCCGGTGATGTTTTCAGGTAGTAACTGGCATTTTTGCATCAAACATCCAATAAAAAAAAAAGCTATGGTTGAACTGGTTCCATATAGATGAGAGGGTTTTGTAATATTTAGTGTGAATCTAAGACAGAATTGATTCTGTTATATTTTCTTTGACAGGATAAATACTTCTCTAGGTTGAATTTTCTCTTTAGACTTAACCTGTAAGCTAATTAGTTGCCACAAGTCGTATTTACAGTTGATCAAAGGTGCAACGCTTGAGTCTAAAAGCGGAGTTTAAGAATTTATCACTTTTATCAAGTTTCGATCTAGTACGGGAAAAAGCGGAAATGATTCATTTATTTATTTCTGTGACTTATCAACCCTTTGCGGGTTATTTCAAGCCAGAAAATATTTGTAGATTTTAATAATATTTGGAGATAATAATGACTAAGAGATAATAATTTAGTCTTACTATTTTGGAGGTAATAAGGATTTAGTAATACCAGTTTAGTCTTATAATTAACAGATAGTAGTGGAAAGGAGTGGATTCATACCTTTATCATGAATATTAGCGTGGAAGTGAAAATAAGAAATCCAACTAAAATTGGAACTCGGCTCTCCGATTAACAAATCTGAATCCTTATCCATTACACCGCCCTCCAAATTTACGCTTACAGTATCTGTATTTCTAATTGGTCACCCATCTAGGTACTGACCAGTCTCGACGTTGCTTAACCTCAAGAAAATAAGGACGGATAAATTTTATATTTTGATTAATGATAAAAAAAAGAAATATTCATGATTCTTTTTTACTGGCGATTTAAAAGAAATACATGTAAGACTTTAATGTAATGTCTGTCTGAATCTCAGGGATGATGAATTATCA